AATAGGTTTATGCGAAGAAAAGTTGGGTTTTGAAGATTCTATTGCTTCATGATTGTTGGGCTTACTTCCATTTCGAGTGAAAGTGTGCGGTGAAAAGATTCGAAGGTCGTTTTCACCAGAAGACGATGGCCGATTCCTCTTGACCAGCTGTCGATTGGCTTTACTGGAACGTTCATGCTGACGCTGTTTCCGAGGTTGATCTACTTCGATTCCAATGAAAAGTTTCGAAGCTTTCGTCCGTCATATAAGTTTTCTTGACTTGTTAGCTTGAATTTTGTCGTGAAGATGTTACCTCACTCTGATGATGTCCATCACATGACGGACGAAAGCTTAGCACCTTTTCACCGGAATCGAAGTAGGTTAATTCGGAAACAGCCTCAGCATGAATGTTTCAGTAAAGCCTATCAAAGGCTGGTCAAGAAGAATCCTTCTTCCTCTTCTGGTGGGATCAAACATCGAATCACTTCACCGCACAATCTTACTCAAAATGTAAGTGAGCTCAACAATCATGAAACAAATGAATATATCGATATATGAATATAAATATATCCTCTGTACGTCCACTGTACGTTTAAATAATTACCTTTAGCCGGTATAAAGATTAAGGTGGTGTGGACTTTGGTATGGCCACGGTCTACTTTTGTTGTATACAAGTTGTTTGAATTGATATGAGATCGTAGTCTCGAAACTCTACTTATTTACGAAAGCTTGTTCGAACTTGTGTTTACAACTTGATCGCATTTTTAGGAAGACCTGGATTGACGCACCCTCTTCGTGGTCCATAGGATACACAATAATTCCCAGAGTCGGACCATGGACTTGGTTCATTCTTTGCTGATGCCGATGATACGTCTGGGAATGTACCAAGTCTACGGTCTAACGTTAGAACTGATCATGGATACTATGAACTACGGACAAAGTGCGTTGCTATAGATTGCATTGTCAATAGGATCATGTTGCGAACACAAGGTCAAATAACTTTACGTACTTTTTGGTTGAATGTCTGCGTTACCTTTGCACCTTTTCACCGGACTCGAAAGAGATCGCTTTGGAAACGGCGTCAGCAGGAATCTTGCAGTAAAGCCAATCGACAGCTGGTCTTCTGGTGGAACCGACCTTCGAATCTCTTCACGCAACACTTGCACTCGAAATAAAAGTAAGCTCAACAAGAGTTGGTTTATTCGAAGTGGCTGTAAAATGGTGCTAACTTGTGGTACCATCTTTCGTGTAGCAGCAGGCACGATAGGCTGGCCAGCCATCCTCGAGGCCGAGAAGGTCGCTCCAGCAAATATGGAAGGATCTGGTAGTCATGTCGCGGTGAGATCGAGTCTCGCAAAACTCTTCATCAGACAAACTCTCACTCGAAGTGGAAAGGAGTTCAACCTTTGGACGTAAAGACAACGTTACTTCTAATCTTATTGAGTAGCCATCGCAACTGGCAGTTGAAGAAAAAGCGCTTTTTCCATTTATCACCAAGCAGGCTACACAAGCATTCCATAACTCCTCGCGTCCACACGATTCGCTTCGTGTTGGTCCATCATGACGCAAAGTCACGGGAAAGACGGCTTGCTTGGACGATGCTGAATTCAATTTCTGGATCCGGTATTATCTTCGCTCCGCATCAGACGGTACCAATCCCGGTACCAATCCTTCTTCTCCTCCCACTCTCGCTCTCGCCTCTTTCTTAACTCCTCCTCCTTATCCACTTTGCTCTCTCTCTCTTCTCCTGCTCCCTGTTGCCCCAGCCCACCCTCCTCGGTCATCTCCTCCTCCACATCGGCATCATCATCATCATCATCATCATCAGCAATTCCATCAGCGGCTGTTTCGGTAGCAACACGGAGATTAGCAGAAATGTGAATTGGCCTCGCCTCATCTCGCCGGCACAATCGGACCAGATTCGGCCAAAGTGTCCAAGTCCAGTCTCGCGAGCACAAGAAGAGGCCATCTTGCCAGCTTGCGTCCGAGACCGACTGACGCGAGAAGCTGACTGAGACGTCAGCTCTTTTCAGCTCGATCCGGCGCGAGGCAGCCACTTGATCCGCAACCTCTGACGCTAACGTCTCCTCTGGCTTGTACCTGTCAGACTCGGCTAGCATACACACAAATGTAGTGACAGACAGACGTACGGAAGGACACGTCTTGATGGCCTGACATGACGAGGTTGTCCACGAGGCTGCATGTGAAATGCGCAATCTGACGCGACGGTAGCGCGTTGGCCGGTCCGCCCAAACCCCCCTGGGGTTGGTGTGTGAAAGGGAAGAGTGTTCGCTTCCTTCCGAGACCGTCGTGAGGGCATAAGTCGTGGGCATGAATTGGGATTTGGAAATGATGACTACGAACGTGTTGACTCTAGTTTAGTCACACTTTCCTGTCGATGAGTACAATTGGTGTGAGTTCGCAACTTACTCTCGTTGCCAAGGCGACATAGTTGGATGCATCTTGTCCGCACTCCTCTGCCTCGGACCATGGACTTGACATGTTGCCGGATGAATTGGGACAGTCTGTCAGACTCGGATTGGCCGACTCAACCGCGTTGCGATGCGTCCTGCCTTGGGCTGGAGAGCCAACAGATCAGGTGGGCGCCAAACTGGCCAAATTCATCTGCATCCGGTATCTGGTGACGATTCCGAGTCTGAGTCCGAGTCCGGTTAATCTCTCGAGAACTTTGCCGTCGCTTTCTTCTCGGTCCTATCAACACACAAACACACACACACATTCATACTCTGGAAGTTAACCGAAACCCGGCTGTACTTCTTTTTAGTTTGTTCATAACGCACAAACACACAAACACATTCATACTATGAAAGTTAACCGAAACCCGGCTGTACTCTTTTTTAATTTTTTCATAGCGCACAAACACACACACACACACGTAATTTCATACTCTGGAAGTTGATCGAAACCCGGCTGTACTCCTTTTTAGTTTGTTCATAACGCATAAACACACACACACATTCATACTCTGGAAGTTAACAGA